AAACAAACAAGCCTTTTGAATTGAAGATAACTTTTCAGATGGGAGACAGCAGAATGCTTGGTGTGTAAACAAAAGGAGTGAAAACCTGAGATTAGATTGGGGAACATTTTTAGGTGTTCAGGTGCTTCACAATGGCTTGCTTAATGGGAAATAATGTTGTTTTATGCAGGATGATGATGCTGAGGCAATCCTTGCTGCAGACTTTGAAATAGGTCATTTCTTGCGTGAACGTATAGTGCCCCGATCAGTATTGTACTTCACAGGAGAAGCTATTGAAGATGATGATGATGATGTAAGTATAAAGTTCTTTCAAAATTCTAAAATCTTTGAAGTAATGTTGCTTAAAGACTTCAGGTAATTTCTGACTTTTATAATGTTGGTATCCTTAGAATGGGATGTATCAAAGTTAGTTTCAGCCAAGCTTCCTAGAGTGTTCAGTAAAGAGGAGCACAAAAGTAATTCATCTTTGAAGTACTGAATTCAGAGTTTTGTGGTAGAAGTAGTGGTAGAAGCTGAGCACTTACACAAAATTAAATTCAGATATCCTGTATAAAGCTTTCCTAGGGTGGTGTACCCAATAGTTCGGTAGAAATATAATGGGCTGCCAGAGAACAAATTAGTCTGTCTAGCTGCTCAGCCTGTTCTTTGTGCTTACAGTGATACTGGGCTACCAAGCTCCTTGAGATTCAAGCCTGATCCTTTCAGGAGGGCACTCTAAGTAGAAAATGATAGATAAGCACATTCAAGCATGCTGAAGTATTTAAAGCAAGCTCTGCAAAAGCTTGAATTAAGGGCTTTAAAGGAGCTAAGCTTGAAAAACAAACCACAAAACCCCGGAACTTTATGCGGGTAAAATGTTTTTGTTCCCATGCCTCTGCACAAATGAGGATAGTTTGACAGTTAAGATAGCTTATCTAAGTCCGGCCTTAAAATTAATTTTTAGAATGTAAAATGGTAGCCCTTTAGTCTAAAGCCCTGGCTTGCGGAGGCGGAAGAGGGAAGTGACTGACTGTACAAATTGCCTTGGGCTTTTATACACCCTACTAGCCAGTAGCATTACCACAGTCTTAAAAGCTCTTCCAGTGTTCCACCTAAGGACTTATGGTAGCCAATTTTCTCTGCCATAGTGTAGCTTGAGAGATTGAATGCTGCTCATGCTGATGCATAAAGCATGTTTTAATGTCTCTGATATAGGAAGTTCTTACAGCACTATAAAGTGTGGTCTTTGGCATCTACTTGAGTTATCTGCCTGTGATGATATGAGCCATAAATGGCTGCATTTATGACACTATCAAAACCATTTCTTTTCTTTCCTAGTATGATGAAGAAGGTGAAGAGGCAGATGATGAGGTAAGTTTGACAGATCGCCTTGATTTAAATAGTTTCCCTTTTGTAGTTTTTTTGTCTGGAATAAGAGTTGCTTTAGTTTTTGAAGGCTCTGAACACTAAGTTTAAGTATTACTTATGAATGTAAGATACAGTACATCATTTTGTGGCTCTACGGTGAATATTAAAAAAAACCAAACCCCAAACACACAAAACAAAACTCAAAAAAACCCCACCCCAAACAAATCAAACAAAAAACCAAAACCACCACCAACAAATCAAGCTAGATGAAGACAACTCTAAGGTACCTTACAAACTAAGTTACAACTAATGTCAAAAAATGATGTGCTTTGTGGAGGGCAAACTAATAAGATATGCATAACTTAAAGTGTGAATTAATGTATTTAAGAGTATAATTTAATCTTCATTTTCTTGAAAATGGCTCAGGAAGCTGAATGGAGATAAGCTAGAGAAATACAAACAAATGTTTTCTTCCAGGAGGGAGAAGAAGAAGCAGATGAAGAAAATGATCCTGATTATGACCCAAAAGTAAGGAACTAAAAAAAAAGTTTGAAGTTTATTGTATACATATACACACTTAAAATTTTATGTAGGTTAAATCTTGATTTTTTTTTAATTTTTTTTTTTTTTTTAGTTTAAGTATTTAATCTCAATTCCTATGAGAAGTATGTTTTGACTGAGGCTATTGCAGTCGCAGTTCTGACAGACTAATATTGGTAGAGAGCAACTTTTTTTAAAGTTCTTTCTCCAACAATCATTTTGTAAAAGTAACTTTTGTCTTTGAGCACTGAAATTAGTCAGGCTTGGTTTTCTATAAACCTGCCTTGCAGCAAGTTGCTGCTGAAAATGTTCTCTAATGGTTGTAAGGACATGCAGAGAACTGCATAGTCCAGCTTCAGTTTTTGGGAACTTGTCACAAGCTGACTCTGGCACAGATTTTCCCAGCAGAGTACAAAACTGAGGCTTTTTCAGGGTAGATAATAGCAAGTCTTTTATTGCTTGAGGTAGCAGAAGTCAAGGTTCAGGAATGCATCTACAGCCAAGTACTAAAATGTGAACAGCCAAGAACAACTGGCAGCTTTCTTATTCCATGGGAAGGGCAAATCACTAGTCAGGCTCACTTTGCTGGAGAAGTGATTGTGAGCCACTCAATTAATAGCTTTTTCCTAGCTGAGGAAAAGGCACATTTGGCCACCTGAAACCATCTGATGATGGTAGATGAAAGTTGCAGTCATGAAACTGAAGTCTCTGTGAACTAAAAATGCCTTCTGCAAAATGTGTTTGCAATGTCAAATGAAGAGGCAGCATATTTTTGAGTAGGAATAGTTTGAGCTACAATCAAAGTACTATTGAAAGAATGACATAATCTTAGCATTGTACCTAGAAAGATGTAGGGTGTAGAACTGTTAATCAAAACGTACAGCCTGTTGGTGATGTTTCATCTACTACAGTGTTTCATCTACTACAGTGTATTCAAATTGCTTCCTATTCAAGAAAGTTTTGGAATCAAAATGGAACAGCTGCCAACATGGGCTTCTTATTACTACAATTTCAGATTGCTTTTCTAGGCTAACAGAACTGAGAAAGGGCAAGACTGTGTGCTCTGTTTCTGAGAGAACTGCCAAAGGGCTAGAGACAGTAGTGGTACTGTAGTGTATTGACATAAGAATAAATAGTTGTAAGCTGATCACAGGCTGAAAGCCAGCTACATTTATTGAAGCACTGTGGTCCCAGAATAGCTATCCAGAGCAAAGTAGTGGAGTAAAACTCACAGCTGAACTCTGCCTGCAAAAAGTTTTTTCCTTCAATTCCCGTATTATTGTGATTGTTGGTTGTCTGTTTCAATATATCAGAACAAATCTTCCACATTAGAATTTTCTAACAACTGGAATATATTGCAAAAGATGTTTCCAGAGTGTGAAGAACGTACCATAATTTGATGTTTCATTGCATTGCTCTACAGTGGCTTCTGGAGTAGGGCTGTGCCCTTGTTACTGATTGCAGGTAGTTTCTTTTGCCTCAAATGGTGTAGAAGTCCCGGATGCCGCTTCTGAGCTGGGTTGTTTGTTACTATGCATAACTCTCCTCCTCCTTTTTCTTTCTAGTGTTAGTGTTTTTCAGAGTATCCTACCAGACTTAGTTCTGAACAGATTTTTGTTCTGGATCATCACCTATGCACTAACAAAGCCAAAATAAATGCACTGTGGATGTTGCCACGTCCAAAGGCAGTGGTATTACTAATGCTAGGCAACTAGTTTAAGGGAAAAGACGAAAGAAGAACTTGAATACTGTAACCTGAGGAAGTATGCTTAGCAATATTAATAATTCTTTTAAAACACTGGTATCTGTAAACTGGTATTTCCTTTTTTCTCAACAGAAGGATCAAAACCCAGCAGAATGCAAGCAGCAGTGAAGCAGTGTGTATGTGGCCTTGAGGATTACCTGCACTGTAATAGCCTAAACACAACTATTAGTTACTTACAGCCTTATGTTTTGTATCTTGGTAGAATTAAGTAACCAATTTGTTAAAAAAAGAAAACAAACACATAAGAACCAGTTTAAAATGTAGGTTCAATCTACCTAGCATTTTAACAGTATAATTTCTGCCAATATGTAGAATGCAGTAAATCCCCTAAAGCATGAATGTTAATTCATTGCTACATAGTTTTGGTTCTTGTGAAGTCTGTCATGTAGCTATTAGACTGCAGCTGTGAAGATTTTCAGAACTGTTAACTGAGACCAATATTTGTTTAGAGAAAACTTTCTCCTGAAGAACCAACCAAAGTATTTTTCAGCCCAGTAGTCTGAACGGGTTTAAGTCTGCTTGCACTAGCTGTGCCTTCATTACTTTGTTATAGAAATGGCAGTGACTTGTACTAACTAGGAGATGATGATGCATTTTGAATTTGACTACTTGAGAAGACTAGTATAACCTGTTTAATTTCCAACGAGACCACATTAAACATTCATAACTGTCAGCTTGTTTATGCTATGGGTTTTGTATTTTATGTGACATAGTGATCTACAAAAGAAACCTAGTCATCATATTAAGGTTATTGTTTACCACTGGGGTGTGAATAAAACCTAGTATTTTCAGAAGCTAGTCTTGTTTTATTATGATGTGTGTATCTGCATGTGTAAACTGGTAAGGCATATCTTTCATGCTGCAGTTCACTTCTTACTGGAAACAAAAGTTGAGAGTTACTGAAAAGTAAATTATATAGCATTTTAAAAACAAACACAATAGTTTGGAAAGTTTGATCTGTATTTTCCACTTGCAGTGTGATACTTGTGAATATGAACTAGATGTTTCAGTGATTGGTCAACACTGCCATTTTGGAGAAGACAAGTTTTTAGAAGTGGTGCTAGATCTGATAAAGGACTTCGGTATTGCTGTGCCTGCCTCTAAAGCATTGGTTATTAGTATGAAATCTGGAGCCAACAAAGGTGCCTCGGATTTCTAGTCTGTGGAGACAGGTTGTCCTGAACAAAATCAGCCTTGCAGCCCAAGGGAGTGCTAGAACAATTAGCTGTATTCTAGTTTGTACTCACTGTATCAAGCTTCTACAGAGGAGGAAACAAACTCCAAGGAATTCCTTTCTCCTCACCTAATGTTCTGTTCACTACACTTATGTTTGCATGTTCTGGCTCATACTTTGTCCATATAGGGTGTTCATTGTCAGTTGAAACATATGGGGTAGAAGATCTCTCTATACTAACCTTGCCTCTAGCCTGGCAGTGGAGGTGCTCTTGAGATGTGGATTTGAATGCACTTAACTTGAAGAGACTATGAACTGATATCTTCCATTTGAGTTTTCCCAGTTGGTAAGATGCTACTGTAGTCTGTGCAGTCTTGTCCTTCACAGAACTATAGAAGTTCTGATCTTCTAAGCAAGTATCCAGATAACTTTTTGAGGGATGGGAAGGCCCTCGTAGGGTTGGAAAGAGATGTCCAGCTAGCCAGGGATTGGTTTCTGTAGTAACTACTCTTTTTTTTCTTGCCACTGATATACTGACTTAGTTAAAGGTTTGAAAAGAGCAGGGCAAGCAGGAGGCAACAGCCACATGAGGGTGGGGCTGGTGGAAGAGTTTCCCTAGTATGTCTTTTGCTTGGAGGGTAAGTAATACAGAATGAAACTTATCCCAGGTGCCCTTCTGAATCCTCAGCCCCCCTGAGAAGGAAGAGTGCGCTCTGACTAAACGGTTTTTTTTTTTAATTCCTTGAAGGCTTAAATACCATGCTGCTACATTTCAGAATCTGTCAGACTTCATCTTTCTCCTCTCCAGATATTTATGGATTTGAGAGAAGGAGCTCTTGTTATCTGTAGCTGTGTATAAAAACAGTACTGGTGAAGCTGTGCTCTTAGGTGTTTTTTAGGTAATACATAGAACATAGCGTAGAAAAATACAGTAATGAAAGGTTAACATCACACTCTATGGTAGCTGTGTGTTAAAGTAGATGTGGTTGTGTTCTTGTGATATAAATCCTGACAGAATATACTTATCCTTTTAGGCACTGTCCCTGCCAGGTGTTTGGGTGTCACTTGGTCTCTTCTCTGAACATCTTCCAAGGTTAAGTTTAAATTTAAAGTTAAGTTTAAGTTTAAACTTCAGGGCATGCGGAGACCAAACTGGTGGTATGTTACAAGCCTGAGCAGTCATTAATAAGGGGCTTTGGCGGTTCATAATTTTGGACATGAGAAGTCTCTGAAGTCCTTACTTAGATCTAGCCCATTTTTACTAACAGCATCTGGCAACTGCATATTAAAGAGAAAGCACTGTCAAAAGTTGTTTGAATTTCAGAAGCCACTGTTCTTAAGAAATTCAGCTTGTGATTCAATTACTGTCTCGTTTAATATGTTCATTTCATACAATGGGATACAATATTTGAAAAGGGGAGTTGGTAGGTACCAAAGCCCACCTGCAGCCTGCAAGATCCAGAGCTATGAATCCATCTCTGTCAACAGATTTTGGTAAGCTTCTCTCTAGATTGACTTACTAGTTCTAAATCATAGTTCTTGTGCTTTCCAGACTGCAGCAAAAGGAAGGATATAATCATACAAATTGAGGTGCCAGTTCTTATGGCATCAGTTAAATAAAAACTGGTTTGGTGCTTAACATAGTTTCGTGATCAACAACAGTATTGTTTAACAATTCTGAAAGGCAGTATGTAGCAGGAACATTAAACTTGCAACATTGATTGGAGCATTGTGACTCATTCTTTTCACTTCTCATGGATTTATACCAGCTGTAGAGAAACTCCTTAGTGTTTGAGTGGGGTTTGAGGAGAGTAAGTTACCTTGTTGTTAACAAATGCAGGCTAGGAAAATGTGTCACTGAAACAGGATTTCTTGGTCAGTTGTTGCAGTACTGCACCAAAATTTAAGATCTGTGTAAACAGTGTCGCCTGTCCAGTTTTGGTTGCTGGGAGGATTATCTTAGAGAAAAAATGGGGAGAAAACAAGTAGGAGAATTAACTGAGACTTTGGATGAGAGGGAAGAGTGCTCGGAGCTTGCACTTGAGGGAGAGGGATGCTTCTTGGTAATTGTACACTTACAGGAAATGTACATTAGGTTACATTAGCACTAAAGGGTTTTCCTGTCTGGTGTAACTTTGTTAACGGTGTAAAAAAACAAACAAAAAACCATCCTGAAATAAAGTAGTAGACCATATTTAGATGGTCTAGGACCAAACTTAGCATTCTTAAGTTTTACTTTCTGGAGAAAGGTGATGTCAGGTGCAGTTAGAAATGTTACATTGGATTATTTAAACACTAGGCATATCAACATTTCCTACCAATGTCTCCTGTGGCTAGCTAGCTTCATAAAATCAGATTCTTAGTTGGATTCTTGGAACTGATGTTTCCCAAGCTATATAGCAGATATTATCATTTTGACATGTTTTTACTTGTTAAATGAAAACAAACCAAAACAGCAGAATATAGAGAACTGCAGGAATCAAATGTGTTCATCTTTGCCTTCAAGCTGGTACTTAAACTTCTCCCTGTGTTTTAAGGCCTGTTATTGTAGACATGATTCAGAAATTGATGGGGAACTTGTACACAAATGGGTGATTAGCTTGCCAGAGATTTCCTGTTTCCAAAGGTGTCTGTGCAGCAGTTGTTTTTTGTTTCTCTGATGCCTTGTATCAGGGAGGAGGATTGTGCTGTGGCATTCTCAGTGGCTTAAGGAAACAAAATGCTAAACCCCTCAGGACAACATCTGAGAATGAAGGCATTTCTGTATCTTGACAGTCTCAATGCCCTGCTAGGTTGGGGCTAGAGCCCATCGGGGTAGGTAGACTCAGCTTTCTGGTGCTTCCTCCTTCATTCTGTGCAGATGTAGCCCCTCCAATCCAAGACTTTCTTGTACAGGTCAGAGAAGTTGCTACCACACCTTCAGTTTCATTTCTTAACTGCAGTTCTGTGTGAGATGCACAGATTCCCTGCAAGTTTTCAAAAGGGTGTTGAAGTAATGCCTTTTAATTGCTAATGCTTACCTAAAGTGAACACTATTTTCCATCTGCTGGAAATAGTAAGTCTTCTGAAAGCTATCAAGAGGAGTTGGAAGTTTGTCCATGTGGCATGTTGGACGAGATTTTTCTCATCATTCTTTAAATCCTCCTGTTAGACCTCTCCGCAGACCTAGGAGTCTTCCACATGTGGCCTGTGTCTCAGCTTTTGTAGGAAAACTAAGGCAAGTAAAGCAGACAAGACAGAGCACACCAAGCAAAAGATAAGCTATTCCACATTGGGGTCTGCTTGGTGTATACCAGAAGTGGGCACACAAGGAGTGTAGCAGAAGGGCTCTTGTTTTCACAGGTATCTGAATTGTGCTGAGTTAACAAGAAAAGCTGTCTCTGCAGCTGCAGAGGGGGCTTAGCTCCTGAATTTAGCTGTTGTGAGCTGTGCTTCTGTATGCTCAAGTGGTGTGAGTATCTGCCCAAACTTTAGGTTTATCCTGCAGCTGATGAGAAACAGTCAGTATATTCTGAACTTGCAGTGTGTTTTACTCAGCAAGCACTAGGTAATCAAATCTAAGAAACATAGGTCATTTAAACCCTTTTACAGGCTAGCTTTTCTCTACAATGTGTGATTAAGCACTTTTTAATATTTTAGAAGATGGCTATCTCTGAAGCGCAAGGGACTTTGGAAGAGCCAGGCTGGAGCAGCTGCAGTGCTGGTAGCCTGTGCATTGCACACAATTTCTTCATTTGGTACTTCCATGGGCTATAGGGAATGCTAAGGCCTGGGGAAATGTGGTTGATAGTTACAGCAAATCTTCCATCTATTGATGCCCGCTTTACTGTGGAGTATCTACACATGTTGGTGGGATGGAATTTGTAAAAGGAAAGTTTGCCCCCCAAAACACCGGTGCAGCGCTTCAGTCTTCGGTCAGCAGCAGTTTCCAGTGAAATTACTGGGAGATGGTAAAGATCAAGAAAAATACTTCAAGTAGTAACCACTTGCCATCTAATTGCTTGAATCTCACTTTGCAACACATCTATTTGTCATGTATTTCTCAACCCTTGTCTATTTTTGTTTTCCTCTTTTTCCTTCTGTCTAGCAATGACCAGCTCCTGTTTCCTTTGCGTTTCCTTCTTAACCCTCTTTCTGTTTTAGCCACTTCTCAGTAGCGGAAGAAATGATGATGTTTAAGGGTTGTCACTCAAGATGGATTTAGCATCCCTTTGAATCTAATAGTTGATAGTTGTGGTGTTGAACTGCAGATTCATTACCCAGGAGAACACTAGTAAAATTACGGGGTTTTTTGTCTTTCATGGTGTCTTCCCAAAACAATGTTTAACTTGCCTCAGGGTTTAAAAAAAGAACACTTATTACTTTTACTGTAATTACTCTTTCATTTAAACTACTTGAGTCTAAGTTAGGGAGCTTATGATGTAGGAGACCAGTGTATTTAACAACCAAACATTTCTGTCACCACTATCAACTTTGTCCATGGAAAAGGAAAAGATCAATAAGGAATAAGTGAATCTTGGATGTCGAGACTTTCAAGGATCAGATTTGGTGCCTTTTCAGGTTGTAGTATTTCAGGTTTGACAGTAGGAGGCATCTGCACATCAGGTATTTCAGGAGAAACAGA